ACTTTGAAGTCAATGGAAAGTGCACCAAAGTTGACTATACAATGACACCAGATGGAAGAGTGGGTGTCATCACAACTGCACTGGATATCAGGTGAGCAAAAAAACATGCATAAACCATTTGATCTCACCAAAAGTCAGCATTTTCATCAAACCTCCTTCAGTTGAACCCTGAAGAAGGATCGAATGACAATTTTGACCTGCACAACATATGAGTCAGAGAAACTACAGTAGTTATTTTACAGAAAAAAATAAAATGTAGTACTGGTAAACTTGGTAATCTTTCCTTGGTCTCAAACGGGCGGATAAATAGTTTGACAGAATGCGGAACCTTGGAAGCAAATTTACTGTAATACTCAATTTCTTTATAAAAATTGTCCAATATGCGTTATTATTGCTCTTTGTTTTTTCTGCTGGGTTCCAAAGAATAACAACTCAGAGTACTATGCAATTTGAGTTACAGAGGTTTGAATAAGGTGGGAGTGAGGTCTATGCTAAATTGCTCTATTAAGTAGTGAAATTTCTGACTTTGATGCAACAAAACTTGACAACAGATTTTTTACTTGAGAAGGTTGAAATGCATGGTCCAAGTATAAAATACAGTCAAGCCTAGCGCAACAAACCTCCTGCACAACATATTTCTGCCCAACAGACTGCTGCTGATAATGGAGGCAGTTTTCCTCCCAGCACAGTGGACTAAATCCACATAACAGACTTTAGCTGTTTTAAAATTAATGGTAAGGACTAAGGAGTGAACTTTTTATGTTTTTAATAATTGAATTTACATGACAGTCTTTTCCACTACTTCAGAGTAGTCTGTTGCACAAATTAAGTCCATTGTGTGGGGGTTATTGACTGTACTACAGTGGCCCTGCATAACAGACCTCCTGCGTAAGGGATTTTTGCCTAACAGACCAGGTCTGCAGGCAGTTTTCCTCCCGCCCAACAGACTTCTGTTGGTTTAAAATTAGTGTTGACAATTAACCCTTGTGCGGCAAAGTTGGACTTTTTCCGCAAAATTTTGTGTCTGTCAGGACAGGTTTTTAAAAAAAGAGGAACAATTCACCCAGGGCAAAGTTGGGCAAAATCCCGATGTATTTTTTAAAATCCGCAGAAAAACTTTGCCCAAAAATAAAAATAAAATGCATCACCAAGGCTGAGCTTTTTTTTAGCCTCTTGCAGGATTAGTTGCATTCTTCTCTGCTTTGCAACCCTTTCATTCAGGGCGCCAGACAGAGGATTCTTATTCAGAGGCAGAAAAAGATTAGTGGAAAAAGTCCGACTTTGAGAAATATTAGCAGCACTGTTTTGCCAGACAAAGTCCAACTTTGCCCTGGGCAACCTGGCTTGGCTTTTGTGGCCTTCAGGAAAAATGAAACGTGAGACCACCCGAGAAAATCCTGACTTCGCCGCGCAATGGAAAGGAACCCTTTGCCGTCCAAGGGTTAAACGTTTTAATTTTTTTGTAATTGAATTTCTCTAAAGGACTTTTTGTCTAACAGACTTGTCTCTTATGCACAAATTAAGTCCATAAGATGGGGGGTTGACAGTACTTTTGTTATCATGAAAATATTCATATTCCTCATTATTCAGGAATTCATTCACATAAAAAATTCTATAAAACCAAATTTCACAATTTTACAATATTATATGATACAATAAAAGATAATATCGTAAGCTTTACATTTATTTTATTCTGATCCTGGATTGAAGGTTATTTCTTTCATTTTTTTTCTAATGCGTCATTTCTGTCACAAATAAGGAATGGAAGACCATTAGTGTCCTACGGTTTGGCAAGCTTCGACTCTGGAGAATTGGCAAAAATGTACATCAGACTGTCTCCCCGACCCTCGGCTCCGAACCCAGAAGAATTTGCGTATCACGTGGTTGACACTGATTACTCTTCATACGCAGTCATCGCCTCCTGCAAAGAAATTTGCAGGGGAAAGAACCACGCGGGTGAGAGATACATGTCGATATAATTTGCACAGCATCATGTATTCCGTTGCATAAAAAAACACTATGCTATATCCCTCTCTTTTATTCGGTTTTTAAACTGAAACGTTTTAGAATAGTCCAATTTAGAATAGTTTTAGTTTCGTTGTCCTTGTGAAATAAGGACTCATTATTTTTTTTCATTTTCGATCACCTTAATTTTATTTGAAACCTGAATTTTTATCATACCTCAGAATAGAATGTGATATAATTATAAATACTGCTGTCAACATTCAAATACTGTGCATTCCGTGGAAAAAATTTGAAACTCAGCAGAAGTAATTTTTACTCCTAGTTTGAAATTCCCAAAAATTAGGGTTTTTCTACAAAACTGAGTTTAAAATGTTTTAGACTTCAGTCGTCTGTATCGAAAACTGCTTTCAAATTTTGAATAATTTTGAAAGGGAAAACTTTAACATTTCGAAGCTTTTTTATACCGTATACTGTATATGCAATGTAGTATTTATGATGATATATTATATAGACACAAATCATTTCCCTGCGCCGTTTTCGTGGGTGGGCTTTATATTCGGGGTAATTTTCTGAGGTGCATAGGGGACTTTTTATAAGAGGAAGGCATGCATGCATGCATGCATGGGATTCAGCAGGAATATTAGGGATCGGAGCATGGATTTATTATGAGCGATTATCCCTGGATTTGCTTCAGTGATGGCGTGGATTTTGGGACGAGCTGCCGCAATTTCGCCCGACAGCCTGAGCCACATTTACGAGAATCTCCGCAGCAGCACAGACGGTCTCGACCCACGTCGTTTCATGAAGGTGGGCTGATGCAAATTGATTTTTATTTTGGTTTTTTCATCAATCCACGTCAAATTCCCGGCGATGAAATATTCCGCGTCTAATACTTTATTCGAAATTTTTTTTATTTTCCGAGAGGGTGCAAAATTAATGGGCGACATCATATATAAAGGGAATAAAATAAAGGAGGAAAATCGCTCATCAGAGGAGGAGCAGCATGAAAAAAAGTGCACAAAACATATTATCTGCTGATAAAAATTGTGCATATTTTCGTTAATTTTTTTCTCATGTACAATGGGACCCCAACATACGGAAGATTTGACTTGGAGATACCAAGAACTAAAAAATCTGCCTTGGCATCTGGAAAATAATATTTCTCAAGATTATGAATCTTTTCCACCATTTTTAGAAAGATATTAGCTCTTTTTCTAAATTTTGATATCTCTTGAAAAAATTGAAATAATTATTTTCACAAATTCATTCCTCCAATAATTCGTACTACAGTAATAAAACAGGCTAATTTTCCTTTTATTTTTTAGAAGTTATTTTTATTATCTGTGAAGACTTTTGCTAGACTTGCTCTTGTTAAGCTTGCTTTTTGAGCTTCTTTTGATGCCAAAATATCAGATTATGAATGATTTTCTGCTGCTCAGTTATTTTCTGTACAGTATCTTAAACTTCAGAAATATTTTCAATTTTTTGAAAATGTATTCCTAATTTTTCTGAGCAGGCAAATCAGTCAAAAACATATGTGGTCATTGAAGTACAACAAAAAGCATTATTGCTGGGATTTTGAAAAGGCTGTCAAAAGTTTTTTTAAACAAGGTTGAAATAACATTGTGGCTAATGGACAGGGACCAAAACAAAATATTTGTTGTCAGCATTAATTTATTTTAATGAGACTTGTTGTCACAATATTTTACTGCATATATCAACACCCTTATTCATCATGCAAGTTACAAAATATAATTCTGTTATTAAAATTGAACTTCTCATTGAAAGAGTTCAAAAGGTAATCTAATTAAATCAATGCTCATTCTGAGACAGGAAAAAGGTTTCAATGGCAGAGACAACATTTTCAGTAAAAATAACCTTTGGACCAGAATTTTCAAAGTATTGTTGCTGCTAATTGCGCTGGATGTTTTTCACTTTCTAATCGAACTTGATGTGGATGGTGAAAAATACCCCAATGATTAAAAAATAGAAAGTGTGATTTATCTCTGCTTTGTCATCGATAAAAATAGGTGGACCAGACGGAGTGCGTCAATGTGGAAGTCGCAGTTCGGTCTGACGACCCCAATTTCAATTTCAGTAGGAACCGGGCGAGAAATTTCTTGGCTGGTTTGGCAAATTTGGCTTATCTCAAGAAATAAGCCGTGCAAATGCGTTGCTTTGTTCAATAATGTTTCAGGTGCACTGGAAATGTGTGTGCGAGTTGTTTGAATGCGTGGTTTCCGGAAGAACTGAAAATAAAATTGATTTTTACAGACAGGACTGTTTTTTTAAGAGTTTTGCTGAGCTCTTTGCGATTGTTGCGAAAGCTCTATCAACATGGCTGCGTACTTTGGCCGGCCGGCGAGCGAAGTGCAGCGTGTGTGACCTTCATAATTTTGCGATGGCTTGTGCGGAGTCAACGTGATTAACGAATTGGTTTTGTGGCGATCAAAATTCCATGAATCGGATTTTTTGCTACGAATCGAAACTGGGCCCTTCTGCCGCCCGGCTCCGCTGTAAGACGCACAGCCAGGCCGTTGTCAAGCAACAGGTCATTTCTGAACATCGAAGTTCGATCATTCGGGTGCCCTTACACTGCAGAGTTCAACGCTTTCAAGTGTCGAAAGCGCGTTCAAACTTCCTGCGGGAAGAACTTTTCCAGGCATCTGCCGTGTGTGGCTGTATGCTTTACGACGGATCTGGGGGCTGAATCGGAGTGTGCGCGAAAGAAAAGAAAGTCAATGATTCAGCTGGATAAAATATCCCCAAGTTTTAATCTGTTACAGTATAATTGTAACAGATTGGAACTCGAGGGATATTTTATATTGATTTTTTACTGATTAATACATTCAGTAAAAGCAGCTCAGAAAGCACTGCTGTATTTTTGCTGGCCAGACGAACGTTTGATTTTTTGTATGAGACTTTCATTATTCTTTTTCCGGTTCTTGCGCTAAACGTGCGGTGTTTTTGGAGGTATTAAACCCGTGTTTGTATTTTCCGTAGGCTGAGACTCTTTTTAACTAGAGGCCCTCATCATGGGCGGAAAGAAAAAAGCGGAGAAGAAGAAAAAGGGGTTAGGCGCGGAGAAAACTGCTCAAAAAACAGAGAAGAAGCTGTCTGCAAAGATGCGGAAAGAATTGGCATTGCAAGGAGAAGAAGATATCGAAACTCTTGTTGCCCGATTCAGTGCAGAAGATGCTAAGAAATCATGCAAGACAATTACAGAAATCCCCTTGACAGACAGGCCATCAAAACGAAGCAACTTCTCTCTCGTGGCGCACCCAAATAAGGATCAATTGCTCATGTTCGGCGGAGAATGTATTGTGAACAAGTCTACCACAGTGTATTCCGATTTTCTTTGCTTTGACATTAAAAAGCAGAAGTGGACGCAATGGGAATGTTCTGGAGGACCTCCCCCGCGAGCAGCTCATCAGGCTGTTACAATCGCCGGAGATGGAGGACAAATGTGGATGTTTGGTGGCGAATTCGTCACTCCATCCGAAAGCCAATTTTACCATTACAGGTTGGTTGGTTCTTTCTCATCACAGCGTGTTACACATGCGAATTTGATTGAATGCGAGGATTAATCAACTGAATTTGTCACGCAGAGATTTGTGGGTTTTCCATTTCAAAGATCGACGATGGGAAAAAATTGAAGTCAAAGGAGGACCTAGTGGGCGAAGTGGCCACAGAATGGTGGTACTTTACACACCGAACCTACCCCCACGAGTTGCGATTTTCGGAGGTTTTCACGACTCGCTTCGTGGAGATTGTCGGTTTGTATTGAAGCTAAAACTTTCAAAACTATTACGATGAACAAAGCAATTGAATTTCAACAGATACTACAACGACTTCTACATTTTCGATCTGAGTGAGAGACTTTGGCGTAAACTCGAAATAACTGGCACTCCTCCTGCGCCTCGTTCTGGACACTTGATGGCTGCTCTCAACGACGGTAGGATTTACATTCATGGCGGCTTTTCCAAAGTCAAGGCTCCGTCGAAGAAAAAGGGATTCGACGATGAAACTGGAGTTGTTCACGCGGACTCGTTCTTTCTAACCCCGGACAAACGCGATACGACGGGGACCAAATTCAAGTGGATTCAAGTGTGTATTACAGTACTGCATTTGCTATACGACCAGTCAAGAAAAACAGGAAAAATTAAATATAAGATGAAATCTCGGAATTACAATGTGTTTTAATTTTTCTCGTATGAAATCAGCATCTCAAGTATTTTTCTTTTGCCATACATTTTTTGGCTGATTTTTTTGCTTCCAAAAAGAATATACTCGGTGCAAAATGAACCGGGATAAATGAACTAAATGACAAACTCGAAGTTATGTTTTGGTTTTTTCTCTTATAAAATTAACCTTCCATGTTTTCGACATTATTTGCTTTACATTCCTGTTATGTAAAAAGCATGTTTCATTCCAATCATGAAATTCTGGTTTAAAAAAAGCGTTAATTTTAAAAGAAACGCAATTGATTCCATCGCCTTCAGTGGATACTCTTCGTTCGTATGTTTTTGTCATCATAATAGTTGATCTTTAAACCTGTTCTGAAGAAATATACGTTCCTTTCAGGCCAAAACTACTGGATCTGTGCCTTCGAAACGTTGCAGTTCTACCCTCGTGGCTTGGACAGAGTCCGGCAAAAATTCGGCTCTCGTTTTTGGAGGAGTTCATGACGATGAGGAACAAGAGGTTCTCAGTGATTCATCTGACGAAGAGGAAGAAGTTTCCACGTCGACGTTTTTCAACGACTTGTACCTTGTTGACTTGACGAAGCCTTCTTGGTCCCTAGT